TTTATTCTGTGCAAAAATACCATTTATTAAAAACAAACTATTTAATAGTAATTTATATGGTGTATATATATTTTTGTTATCTACCAATAATTAAATTATTACAGCTCAACTATTACAATAATTGTATAAAATATAAATGAGTAAAAAATAAAAACAAGAGAAAAAAAAACAAAATAAAAAGAACAGTCGTTACAAACAATATACAGTATAGCAAATAATGAAAAAAAAAATGTAATCACATTAAAATCAAATTCAGAATCCTGCATTTTCAAAATAATTTAATTTATTAATAATAATGGGTCTAAAAAAGGAATTTAAAATAGATTGTGACTCAACTGAGATGATATTGTTACGATGTAGGAATTGAAATAATTGTATACAGGGATAAAAAAGTGATGGGTCATGGGTGATTAGCGAAAAGTGGGTAAAGTCAAAGTTAGAGAATTATTTAAAAAAATTTAAAAGGCATGAGCAGGAAGTAAATTGTGTCTTATAATCTAAGATTAGAAAACAAACGATATGGGACTTAGCTCGGGGTTTTTTGTGAAACCATGGATAAGATAGGATAACAGAGATTATAGATCTATCAAAAGTTGCAAAATCAGGTGTAACTGTCGACTAACTGATGACCATATTTGTAACCAAGTATATGTGTGTGATATTGATTTTGAGTATAATGAAGAAGCCGGATGTATAAATTTATAAATTATAGGTCTTTACGCATTATAATAATATTTGAATATTAGCACTACAACTAATTATAACGGAGGAAAAAATAATAAGTTACTATTTATAAATACCTATATAATTGAATAAAACAATGCTTAGGTAGGTAATATCTTTAAGGTCTAATAGGGTTTATACTCTATAGGATAATATATTATTCATTTATGATAAAAATATAGAAAACATTCTTAAATCTTATAACATATTTGTTGGACAACAATATTATAGTATGACGGGGAGGGTCATCAATTAATATTTTTTAAAGGTCACATTAGAAATTCAAGAAGGGTTTAGGGGCCATCATATGTAATACCTATACTTCCTACCTATTGGTTAAACCCAAAAAAAGTAAAACAAAAATCTCATTTAATCTTCCATAAAAATATTTAATAATTAAAAATAAAAATGTCTTGTCTACGAGCCAGATAAAATTCCTGTAGTATAATAATATAGGAATACTAAGAATGAGTGTGCTATATAGAAGTTAAGAGACCACGACACGTGCAGGAATATCCGCTGTCAACAATTTTAAACAACGCGTTCGCAATTTGCGCATGTACTATAGTTGACCCGAGAGAGGTGGTTCGTCAATATATTTTTATCAAAGTGACATTGTGTGATATAGGTAAAGATAAATATATGTAATTGTCAATAGTTATGAAGTGGCGTGTGGTCATTTAATATACCTATACAAGCCATAGTTTTTWTACAACAACTCCGTGCGCCGTCGCGGGCATACATAGATGTGTATATAGATGCTCAAATTAATGTGTTTTTAATCTTTGTCTCAAATACGTTTACATAAAACCCAACATTTTGATTAAAATATATGGTTCGAAATAGCATAAGAAAGGTTAACAATAAATTATTCAAAACTCAGAAGGGGGTAGTTACATTATTGTTAAGAATATACAATATTATTGTGTATATACATAGATCGTGTTTGTTCGAAACAATTCTATATTTTTTGTTTGTAGAAAATGAGTTGGTTACGGTCCATTCATATATAAGACAAGCCATTGCCATCCCTTTCACTTCGCACTTTGAGACGCATATTATTATATACTTGGAATAAGGACGCATGCGTTTGTTATATCTTACAATATTATTGGTAGGTAATAGGTAGTAGGTGCCTATTTAACATTAACAGATATATACATATATAAAAAAAAAAATGGTGTTGAGTGACGACTGACGAGTGGTTTATATAATTATTTCGCAAAAACGGGTGGGTAAACGATACATAGTCAGAACACTCAGAACGAGGGGTGCCGACGACGGCATTATTGAATAATCCAATAATCATTATGCAACTCTTTACACTAAGATTTCGTCTTCGAAACAAAAAAACAATAATAATTTATTTCACAACTATACATTTAAATAATTGTATACATATTATTTACGGAATGATCGAATACCTACTGTAACAATAACATAATTTTCTAAATCGGTATAGGAGGCGAGGAAACCGGGTAAGCCACATGCGATACAGTGTGTGGTGTGTGGCAAGGGTGACTTCGTGACGTATTATAATATTATGATAATCGTATGCGTATTGGTGTACATGGGGAGGGGAATCGTAAGTTCCTACACGAGAGTAACAGGTAGACAATTACATACGTTAATTCCTACATATGTGATGTGTAAGTTCCTACACTACGTATATTATAAGTTATCAATCTACGTCTACGAAATACTATCATACATTTTAACCCTTTATTTTATATAAAATATAAGTAATGCATTCTATATAATAATAATTCATAATTGTAAGAACATAATAGGGTTATTGTATTAAAATTATTATTTTTAAAATTATTAAATTGTAATATATTTTATTATAGGTAAATTATTAAATATTATAAAGAATTATAAATTATATAGAAATAGAATAAAGGGTTAAAATGTATGACAGTATTATAATATGATATAACTGATATTAGATTGGTAACTTATAATATACGTAGTGTAGGAACTTACATAATATGTACCTTATTCYATCGTGTAGGACAGGGATGGTGAACCCGTGAACCAATGTCACGCGTGTCACTCTGTGACACTCATGCATGCATTATTTCACTGACACGTCAATTTAAATATAATTTATAATTTTTGCTTCTCTTCCAAAAAAATTACTGATAATTTGAAATTAACTTGAACTATTGTTATTGTAATACATCGTAAAAAATCGCAGATATTAGTGCAGCATGTATTCAATTAAAATCTCTAAATCATAATCCTAKCTGGAAAAATGCAGCAACAGATTTTCATTAAAAACTAATTTTCGTAATTAAAAAAATTACGTGTTTATATTAATATGTAATAGTTAATAGTAAATGCTGTTAAGTTTAAATACTCGTATATTATATACTTAACAACAAATAAAATGATGTTTCTATGTTTAATTGAATTATTTTTTAAGCAAAAACAAGGCCTGAAAGCTTCTGACACTCGAGGCAAATAAAATCAAACCAAACATTTTGATTTGACACGCACTTATCAAAAGGTTCGCCATCCCTGGTGTAGGAACTTACATTCGCCCCATTGCACCTATATGTTCGCCGATTCCTCGATAGTATCTCGTACAAAAAGAATAAAATTCAATAAAATAACGTCAAGTATAATCAGCATAAAATATTATATGGTTTTCTAAAATAATAAAAAAATATACCCAACTACCTATACATTTTTGCTGTGGTATACCTCCACCCTACCATCACCGTCGGCGCCGTCCACCAATACCCACTAAATATTATAATATACCACCGACGTGGCCGACGACTACGTCTCCGTGGCATGTGGTATGTGCCTATGCGTTATTTACGCGTATGCTATAATAGGTATATGTTTTAATAATATGCGCAGTGCAGCAGGTCTCGCTCAAGGTCAAGCGGACCGCTCCGCCGGCGCGGTGGTTGCGGCGGCGTCGTTGGGTAAAAATGTTTTTGCGCGTCTGCCTCGGACGACGACTGTCCCGGCAACGTCCTTGCTTTGCCCTTCGTCGCAACCGCACGCGCGCACACACGCGGCGCGTCGTCCTACCGAACTGCATTTCGTTGAAAATCGCGCCCGTGGCTGCCGAACGATGCGCACAAAACAAAAAACACAATATTAAGAAATGTATTATTGTGTTTGCGTTGTGCGCGATCAGAGTCAGCTCTGCCGCTATATATCACGACAGCGATGACTCAAACCTCGAWCTATCACAAAAAGCATTGGAGAAAAGCATATTGATATGATTTTCATTCAATCACTTCAAACGAAGTCGGCTCGACACTGCGCGCATTTCCAACGAATTTCYCTAAGTATTTTTCGTTTTTGAATTCGTCCGTAGTTTCCCTCGCGGAACTCGCTGTCCGCAGAGTCGGCAAGTCCCAACTCCACGAATTAGGGGGGCGCGACCGGTGAGCCCCTAACAAAAACGGTTTTTATTCTATCGTAGCATAACGTTAYAATTATACATCGCAATATAATTAGCGGAGTACGAACGGAGTACGAACATCGTCAAACGGCGGACTTTGCTCCGCGGAATAAGAACATTAAGAACCGGCAAAGGCCTCGACCCATATAGGTGTAATATTTTTATTATTACTACCATAACATAGTCCGCCGTGAAAACTGTCGTGACTCCGCCCGGCACGGTAATGTGAGGCCGCGACGTTTGCAAGCCTGTTGCCGCGCGCGCGGTATCCGTTTCGCTCGGTCGTCCGTTCGTCCGTCGGACCGCCGAGTGCCGACGATCGCTTCGCTCTCTCAGTCGCACCGGCACAGCCGCCGTCTCGCTCGCTCCGTCGAGCATCTATAGCGCGCGCGCGGTTGCGAGTCCCGTCTCTCTATCGGTGGTCGCGGCTGTCCGTCACCTCCGCTCGGCGCTCACTCGTCGTTAGCCTTGAACCGCCGCCGCCGCTACGCGCCGTCCCTACGTTTCGTTCGCTGTGTGCGCGATTCCTTCGGACCAATCGGATCGTTCGTGTCGTCGTGTCCGCTCCCGCGTAGGGTGCCGTTTCCGTCGCCGTTATTGTTTATGCGATTTTCTTTTTTTTTTTACTGTTTCATTCCTCAATCGGCATTTCGCCGTCTCAGTAAGTTGTCGTCGTGTCAGAAATCGCGTATCCCCGTCCGCGTAACGGTTATTAACAGTCTACCCATGACCCACGTCGTCCCATGTGTCGTGAATTTTGATAACCGTGTTTCGTGCGCGTGTGGTACGTATGTTACCATATTTTTGGTATTATTTTGTTGTTATTGTTATTGTTAGTTATTGTTATTGTTATTATTTTTATTTTTATTATTATTATTATTATTATTATTATTACTACCCATGCCGTCGTGGTGCCGTTCGCTTGCCGCTTTTATTTTCGCGCGTGCGGCCGTGACGACTGCAGCCGCTGCTGTTTGTCGTTGCAGCGACGGCGACGACGGCGTCTAAGTAGGACAAACCGCGCGCGCACGCCGCCGCCTCCGCCACCGCCGCCGAGGTAAACGAACTGTGCGAGTCGAATGGGAAACTGGACCGCACCGATGAATTCATTACGCTCTCGCCGTGTGCGTGGAGTAGGTACTCGAAAGTGTGTCCGGCCCAATCAGCTAAATCGAGAGCCCTTTGGTTCGATATCTGTTGTTCGCATTTCCCGTACGTCGTCCGCGGCATTTTAGTATTGAATTTTCCACCGCCGAGACCGGCTCGAATGTCCCCGTCGGATTGTCGTCCGGTTCACACAGGAGGGGCCTCTCGCCGAAAACGTCTGTAGAAGGATTTCCAGGAGGATTTCGGACTGTCGGTAGCTGCAGGTTCCACCGACCGACGCGGAACGCCAAGCCGTCTCGTCTACACCGCCGGGCTTCGTTTTACTTTTGTCCACTAGCAGTAGTTTTAATGGGTATAACAATATGCTCCTCAGTAGTAGTTCTGCCCTGTCCGCCCCTACAACACTGCCATGTTATTCTTTGAACTCGATAAACAGTTCTTGTTCGGTTCGCGCATACCTACTCACCATTTTCCTACATATTATACTATGGTCGTTAAGCTGTGAGTTTGCTATAATTTTTTAGATAAGAAAATATTTAATAACGACTCTGTAGGTACATAAGTTGTATAKTAAAACACGTAATTGGCCACTGATTAATATACTACATACCATTCGTTGTGAGTGTCCGATTGAGATAAATTATGTCATTAAAGATCTTTTTATCTTAAAATTGTTTATTTGGAGATAAGGTTCTTGAAGTGATGGCCTAAATTATTTTCTAGTTGTGTATTGTAGTTTTGCCTAAGCGGTTTGATGATCAATAAAATTTATTTTTTCAGATATTTCACGATAGAACACGAGATGCAAATTAGCCGCATGCCGATCCCGGCAGATGATTGTGCGAACAGCGAAATGTCTGTCGACACTAGTCCTTCAGATACAAAGACAGATGATTTGGAAACTACAACTAAAGTAAATGGCGATAGTCACAAAAAGTTAAATGGAACTACCATAGACAACACTATTGAAACTGATGAAGCCACTCAACTTGTAATTAAAAAAGAAGAAGAAGAAAACGACGAAGAAGATAATGAAGATGAAGATAATGAAGATGAAAAAGCTGAAAAAGAAAAGGATAAAAAAGAAAAAGAGCCAGAAAACAAGACTGACCCTTTATCCAAAAGTACTGATAAAATAGTGAAAAATGGGGTATCTGAGGAACAAAAATCTGTAGAAACCGTTAATGATGAAACTTCTAYAACTAATGATAATGATCCTATGATAAATGAAGAAAATGATGAAGAAGTAAAGCCTATGGAGATAGATGAAACTGAAGATCAAACTGTTGAAGGTGTAGTTATTAAGAAAGAAATTTTAGAAGTTGACGAACCAGAAGTCACTGAAGACGTCAAAACTCAAGAAATTGAAAAACTTTTKAATGGAAATGCAAATCACGAAGATGAAGTTATCACAACTAGTAATGAGGTATTGAAAAAGAGTGTAGAAGAGGCAAATCCAGTGAATGGAGAGGTAAAACTTAAAGAAGACGATAAACCCATTAAATCTGAAAAAGTCAGTCGTAAAGTTCTTGAAGAAGAGGACATGTCAAGTGAAATTAGTACAGATACACTCTCACCTAAGCAGGTATTTATTAGATGTAAATTTCATTATTTCCTATATGTAATTTTTCTTCATTATTATGTCTTTTTCAGATAGATGAGCCAATTGCACGCAAGAGGTCTGCTGCTAGTCACGATGAGCTTAGTGTTGTAAGTGGAGCAAGTAGTGATAATGATTTACCCAAAACTAAAAAGTTACGATCTGATGAAGACCATCCTTTATTAAAAGATGACACTCGTGAACGGTTGATAAAAAATATTGTACAGTCAAGTGGTAAAAATGAAGTTGAATTAAATAGAAATGTAGAGAAAATACAAAATGAAATAAAAGTAATCACGGAAATAGCACAGACTAAACGTGACGAGTTAGTGACTTTGATCAGGTTACAAAAACTTAAAGAAGAAATAATTGAACGATTAATGATAAAATTAAAAGAACTTGATGCTATTAAGACAGACAACAGCAAAGACTGGAATTTACCAGAAATGTTTCAAATTAATTTAAGCCAGCCCGAACATATACTTAGTGAAAAGGTATTATAAACAATTTAATATATTTTATTAATATTTTATTAATAAATTATTGATTTTTTTTTTTTAACAGAATATCTTAGATATTATTGAGAATCGTGGTGATAGTCAACTTGAAAAGTCTACAATTAATAGTTATGATCAGAATATTTATGCTCCTTCATCATCTAGTAATAGTATCACGCCAATTGCGTCATCATCTAATGCTCAATCCAATGAATGGATAGTGTCAGATAGGGTAAACCGCACCAACCGTGTTCAAAGACCAATATTGCCTAAGCCTTCTGCAGCCAATAATCACAAAGAAGGTCGTCAAGGTCCTATATTAGATGTTAAGCTAATTATTGCTGATCATCGATCAAAAAATCCTGAAACTGCTGTGACTAAAAGAGGCCGTCGGAAAGTGACAACCAATGATTTTTCAGTACCAACATCTTCAGCTCCATTACGTTATCCAAATCCTATGGGTTTTGGTAATCCACTTCACCATGCYAGTGATGGAAATTTTAAAAATAGTAAGTTTAATATAATGGGTTGATAATTTATTTATTATTTATATCATTTTATCAGAATTTGAATATTTAAAATACTATTGTGTTTTGTTCAGCTATCACAAACACCCATGGAGTTCCAAACAATGTTATGGAACATGGGTCTGAACATAATCGTTTTAAAGATGTCCCTGCTTTTCCAGAAGTTACATTGCATCCAGTCTCGCAGCCAATGCAGCAGCAGCAGCAGCACCAACAACAACAACAAATCCAACAACAACCACAGCCAACATCCCTATTGCATGGTAATTTTTATCATTAAGAATTATTAACCAAAAAATATTGTTGTTAAGAATGACTTTTTTGACCTATCACAATATTGATAATACATAATCTCGGGACAGATAAATTTTAATAATGGCCAATCATAAACAATACAATTGAGTATGTAAGAATGTTTAAAGCAATATTAGTCATTAACTAAACAAAAAAATAGTTTTTAATTTTATAACATAAATAATAAATATATGTGCCTATATTGTTGGATTTAGAACATAAACCTTGGTAAATTAATAAAGGTGATTTTCTTAAATAAATTAGAAGGTTCAAGAAATTATATAGGTAATACCTGAATGAGTTTTGGCTTAGTAGATTGAAATATATTTAAAAAGTAAAAAGAACATCATTCATTATTGTTTTTTAGGTTTTATGTGCCTATTAAGAGGACATTATATCTGCATAATTTGTCTCCGTTATACGCAACRTAGCAAATTTTACACTCAGCAGATCACGTTTAGCTCAAGTATTTTATGATGTGCCTACAAACAATTTTAAATTTWAAAACACTTAATTTGCTTCAAAATTAAAATTTAATAAAAAACCCATGAAGTCATTTTTATATAATACTCTTACCTTTAAACTTTTTAARAGGTCAATATTTACTCTAGTTTTTAAACTAACAGATCTAAACAAGATGCTGCTGTACGTAAAATTTGCTATGTTACACACTTGTAAGATTAATATAACACATAATGTCCTCTTAATTTGATGTATTTTTGTTGGTAAATAATAATAATAAATTTACTATTATAGGAATTTTAACTAAAGGCGCCGGCACACATCATTTACCACTTAGTATGTCACACCCTCCAACCAATTATTCGCCTACATTAGCAAGACTCTTAACTGCACCAGAACGTTGCAAGCAAAGCAGAGGAAAACGTCAAGCACCTGCAGCTACTGTTGTGTCTTCCAATGCGGTAAATACTAATTTAATTTATTCATTGAACTCGTTACTTACAGATATCTTACAACAGCATAAACTTTTTTTTTTCTTTTACTATTTTATAAGTTTCATTACATTCTTACCATAACATTTAGATGAGGTCTTTAAGTCTTTTATATTGATTATTAGGATTTTAGGAGATGCACATCAGTACTTATTTGTGGTTTCAATTTAAAAATAATTATGATACATAAATTTATTCTAATTACAAAACTGACGCAGTTAAAACTAACATGCTGACATTATTTTATTCAATGTTTTTCTATGCTTGATAAATAATTTTTTTCTCATTTTATCAGAAAATACTAAACATAACTTCTTAACTATGACCTAGATAATATGATTATTTACAAAAATACTACGATAAAAATTTTGGAGCTCAGCTTCCTATTAAAGTCAAATAAAATATTGAAAATTATACAACTAATATTATCTTCCTTACTGTATTTTATATATAATCAAATAAGAAGAATAGATATTAACTATAAAAAAGTGAGGTTGGGATTAATAAATCAAAAGATTATAGRTGTTTTACAAATTAAAAACATTTAAYTTTATGACTTATACTGAACATTCACAAAAGCTTGTTGTACACATTTATGTTGTGATCAAAAGTAAATATGCTAATTAAACTTTTTATATTTTAGCAATCTCGTAATGAAATAACTATTACACCAGTTCAGAGTACGTCAATGTCTTCAACTTTTCAACCAAAACCAAGTTGTTCGTCAAATATACCAGTAAGATTTTTAACCTCCTCTAAAGTATTTAAATTATTGTTGTTAAATTATTTTTTTTTGTTTTTAGCCTGTTCAGTTAGATGATGAAGATGCTTCTGATAGATTGGTTATTGATGAAGGACAAGATGTTATGAATGCAAACTCTCCATCTAGTGCTCCACAGTGTCAAGGTTGTATGCAAAAACCTGCACAATTTGTTTGTGCTGGATGTGGCAATCAATGGTACTGCAGCAAAGAATGTCAAGTATGTGATATTAAACTTAACTTATAGTTTTTAATAAAATCTATCGTACATTTTTTTTTTATCTTCCTTAATAAAGTTAGTCAATTGTTATCAAATATTTCTTTTATTAATTTTCATTAGTATCACCTCTGTGGTTAATCATTTCAGGCCAAATTAGAATTTGGTAGTGATTTAYCCTATGTGCTTGGTGTTCTAAGTTTTGCACAAATAGTTTAGTTTTTTAATTACTGATCATGTAATGTTATCATGATAATATTTGATTACAATCAACTAAATTTATTTAAGAAGATACACAAAATCATAAAAATAAATTTTTTACTATAACACCGGAATTTGGTAATTATAGGAAAACAAGATAATATTTCAATTTTATTTTTAAATACAAATTATGCCGCAAGAACGTTGAAATATATAAAAAAAAATGTATTCTGAAAATATCGATTGATTTTTATATGAGTATAAATTAAACCCTCATTAGTCTTGGCTCTAGTTATGTATGATTTATGTATGTACATAATTTCTAACATTAAAAGTTCTGTATTTCWTTAGTTTTAACATATTATGTGTTTTTGGGCTGGATATTTTTGTTTGATTAAAATAGGTATTAGTATGTTTAAACATTCACTATTTGTACATTAAATATACTAAGAGTAGCCAGATATAAAAACGAAATTACACTAACATCTATTTTGAATAAAATGTCTAAATATTTAATGTCTTACTTATTACTTAATAGTGTAATTTAAAAAGAATAATAAAATAATCTTTTTTGGTYATTTGATCACAATTTTACGAATTATAAATATTTTTAGTGTTTATTATTGCTATCTATCGTCCATTAATAATTTAAAGGCAATTTTTTTTCTGATGAATATGTTTTGAAAGTGTCTTATTTTCCATCAGAAAATCATGAAATGTTGGGCTATAATCGACTTAAAAATTATAAATATTTCATATGAGTGAAGTCATATATCTATAGGCAAATAATATACATGTAAATTGTTTATCATAATATAGCAAAAACAATAGTATTCTATAAATGCATAATATTATATTTATTGATATTTAATACAAATAGATAAAAATTTTATTTTTAATCTGGTGTTATTTCCTTTATATATTACTCTATGCATAAAAATAGACATATTTCTTTAAAAAACCAGGACAATTTAGCTTCCCAGAAGTTAATGCGGGAACAACAGGACATGCTTTTGAAATACAACACTTTCCCGTACAACACTGGGCATCTGACCACCMTACATATTATACATCAGACATTTTACATAAAATGAATGGAACGTTTAAAACTATATTTAAACATTAGTCCTTCTCCTCTAATTTTTTCCCACTTACAGTTCTTTTAAAAATATTGTTTTGTGATTATATTATTTATTGTACACAGTTGTTTATTAACTACTGACATAAAGCAGATATTAAAACATTGAACAGATATTCTTCYYTGAATAGGATGAAATGAAGAAATTATTTTATAATAAAGAAACAATTAGTTAAAAACTATATAAATATAAAAAGATTATTGAATGTATATTTTTAATGGTATCTTGAATTTTTATTTTGTTTATAGATTGATGCTTGGGATGATCATTCAGAAGTCTGTAGCGGTTAAATTAATTTTTACAAGTGACATTTGTGCCAAAAAAGATCTCTTAAAGATTAAACTAAACAATTTGAAGACAGTAGCTGGCTACCATTGTTTATAATTGACTTTGGTCTAGAGTACATACCCTTGGTGTGAATCTAAGTCAATTCACTATATGTGTATGAATGCATGATATTATGTATGTAAATTATACACATCAAATTAATCTTTATTAGGAACTGACAAATTGTTATAATATATATATATTTTATAAGATGTATGTGTATATATTATTACTATTTTTTTTTTTATATATATAAATTATATAATATACATCGTAATATTTCCTAATTCCACCCTTAGCTTATCTGTGTGTGTATGTATGTCAGTGTGTGTGCGTGTGTGTGTGTATTAGAATCATAAAGTTTTATTTCAAATACACAAAGTATCGTGGGTCAATGACTGTTAATTAAACCACCCATGGTATGTTTTTTTGTTTAATTGATACAA